TAATATTGTATTTACCTTTAATTAAAACAATAAACAGATTTGTTTATAAGTATAATGATTATTATGAATTAGAATTCCACGGTTGTTTGTAGATAAGCACAAAGCTACACAATGGGCTATCTGTGCCCTGCTCACCACGGGTATCGAAACCCGGATTCTAGCGTTGTAAGTCCACAGACTTACCTCTGTACCCTTATTTATAAGTGTATCAAATAACATCTCCGTATGAGTAGTTAGGAGTGTTTATTGTAAATATTTTTTTTAAAAATGAGCCCCAAACTATTCGACCATATTTGAGAAAAGCCATGAGAACGAACGTGAGATCGACACTGACTGTAACATAACAAAAACATTGCTATGATTTTCTGTGAATTTGGAGGCATTATTTTGAAAAACAAGTTTAGGTAAAACATATATATATGATGTTTTATCATTGTGATATTTTAAACTGTCTTTTACTTGCCACAGTGAAACTATATTAACACAGACTTTTGGAAAATGTACTATTAATGTTACTAATTTGTTCTTGTGAATTATTTAGCAGATAACCTGTTTAAAACACTAAAAATAAGCATGAAACTCAATATATAATTCACTTCACCACTTGTTATTACGTTACACCAGTTTTGTGGACTTCCACCCCCTCATCAATAATCCTGGAGAAGAGGAAATGGAAAGAACAAGATTAGGCTTCACATAATAGTGCCCCCCCCCCCAGTGGCACAGTGGCTTACAACGATAGAAACCGGGTTTCGGTACCCGTGGTGGGCAGAGCACAGATAGCCCATTGTGTAGCTTTGTGCTTAACTTCAAATAAACAAACAAAAATCATATAGTAATGGCGTGTACGTTATATGGAGTGTGTTTTAAGCTGTATTTTACTCACCTTTGGCAAATTTTGTTTTGGAATGTACCAGAAACATTTTCCAAATCATACTCGTACAGTAATTATTTTACACAAGGTTAAAAACTATTAATCACAGCACCATAACTTACTTTCAATGTTATATGGAAAGTGTATTCAATAAAACTTAAAATCTTAGACCTTTTCGTTGAATATATGGCAAGGAAATACTTCTGTTTTATTGACGCTTTAACATTTCCACCCTACATAAATACTAATATTAATAATAATAAGGAAAACCTTTCTGAAATGGAATTTAAAAAAAAACGTTTACTCGTTACAGAGAAATAGATGAATTTCTGAAGAAAATAGTGTGATTTATTAACGTGGTCAAGTATTCATCAGACAGTAATTAAAAAGGTGACAAAACGTTTTAAGCTGTTAGTAGTTGATAAACATTAGTAATAAGTTGACATCGAGACTACACCTCATCATCTTCTGCAACATATAAAAAAAAATCAATTGAAATACAGTCCATATAGAAGACTGTAGATAAATATTTGCAGTTGTGTTCCTTAGTTTCTAGATTATCATCGTATACTGTTCCTAACAATATATAACTACTCTAGCTTGTGCAATATCGACTCTTTTACAAAATTTTATCAGAGAAACATCTGTCAGAGAAACATTTTTTTTTTATATAAAATGAAATTAAAAGGATTTCAGATTTTCTTGTATGAGCTAATATCGGTGTTTTGATAAAGTTGAATTAAGTAAAAAAATCAAACTTACTGGGTTGCTCGAAGTTGTTGTTAGTAGTGTATTACAATATGAATGAAAATTGCGCAAACTGTTAATGTATCCTCACTAGTTGCGTTAAATATGTCTTGCATTCAATATTTCGATGACGAGGAACCCACTTTGAGACTAATAATGGCTGGAGACGGCTTGAATGGGTAATGAAGAAAAACTTATATTAAAGTTTTTCTTTATTACCCATTCAAGCCGTCTCCAGCCATTACTTTGACCATAAACTGGTGATATCTATCTTTATGGTCAAAGTGTTAGACTAGTAATTCGAAGCTGTTTCTAGTTTTTGTTGTTATAGTTTTTAAAGAGTATTTTATCTTAAAATTGACTAATCCATAAAGCATATCTATCAGAGAAGAAATTAAGATTCAATATTCTGCCATTGAAAAAGCATATTCAAAGTACCGTTCATAAAAAAATATCTAATCCTCGTGTCACTATGATTAATATATTGGGTAAAATATTTATTTTTCAGCCGTGGGGGCGTTATAATATGACCGTCAACCCCGAAGAGTTTGCGGTGGGTGGTATTGACTAGCTGCCTCCCCTCTTTTCTATCACTTCTAAATTAGGGACGGATAGCGCAAAGAGCCATCGAGTAGCTTTGCGCGAAATTTCAAAAATAAATCAACAAACAATTATTTGTCAGTTTCATAGTTACTGTCTTTCAGTTTAGGCCAACAGTAAAAAATTATAATTGCATATATATACATATACATATATATATACATATATATGAAGCGGGGGGTGAAGAATTTTGGAATTACAATAATCAGATACGAAGAAAGTTTAAAAGCGTTTAAACGTGTCATTAATTAAATTTTCTTTGTTTGTTAAAGAGAAAAGTTTATTTTATTCAAACCTACAAAGACTATGGTTATTATAAATAAGCATTCGTACTTGTAAGACAGCTTATTTTGAATGCTGTTTATTTCTAACTAGCTAGAGTACTCGTCCTCTGGACGAAAGTTATGTAAATTCAAGATTAATGACAAATTATCTTAGGACATGAAAAGTTGCTTCTCTTATATGTAATTGTAAAAAAGCAAAAACGTTCATAACAACCGCAAAACGCAAAATGCAAAACTGATGATTTGGTTGTATCTTTCCATGAACCCAACAAACCTTTACGCCAAATCTGATGAAGATCCATTTACAGGGGACGAAGTGGGGGTAAAAAAACGCAAGAACGACCATCAAAATCACAAAATACAAAATGCAAAACTGAAAATTTGTATATACCCCCGCATGAACCTAATGACCCTCCATACAATTTTGATGAAGATACATCCACACCCTGTGATGTAGTTACATGAACATACAACAGAACTATTATATTTATATAAATGTCCTAACATAACTTAAGATAGTATTTTTTAAATATATTTATATGTTACTTTAGTTGAACAAAATAAAGATAAAAAAGCCATGTAACAACCATAGTATGCTATTTTTTTTTATAGAAGTGTAAGAATCTACTCACCTCTGCCGTACTTGGATACATTCCGAAGTAATTTGTGGTAGGAAATCTCAGGTAGAGTTTCGTCGAAGTCCTGTTCGTGGAAGGACAGGTTATTCAGAACATGAGGGATGGCAGCGAGGGTAAAACAGCAAATGGATTTACCCTGAGTATGGTAGCGATGGTTGTGATAGAAAAATGCCACCACATTCCAACCAAAATGTAACAGCACCTCCAGAAACATGTTCCCAAGTTGAGAGAAATAACCATTCATACGGGTAAGAAACGAATAGACTGTAGTTTTGTTATCAAAAACGTAAGCTTGTCCACCTACTGTAAGTAAAGGTATTTTCCAGACTGAGGTGAATCGCGCGACCGGCGCAAGAACGTAGGGATCAACTGGCCCCAGGAAAGCACTAACTGTCTTGTTAAAGTACATTTCATATGCTGCCAAAGGGCCATGCGTGGGGGAGCTATGAGTATTTCTGGGACATACCTTGATGACATTTCCATTTAAAATACCATGGTCCTCGATAAATTTTACAGTATACTGAATGGAAGGAAGGATTTTATGAAGGGAGTAGGGCAGACTGTTATTTTCTGGAGCTAACACTACTAGGTTGATATAGCAGTTAGAATGATTAAACTCACTTTCGTAATTTGATTGGTTGTGTTTTGAAATGAAAACTGGTAAGTGGTTTTTAGTGTAGGTACACGAGTTCCTCAAACATTCATCTCCAATGTGATCATTTGCAACAACCTTAAGCAAAGCTATCAACAATATTAAAAACTTTGACATCTATCTATATTATAAGTGGCGCCTCCGAGAATACACCAAAAATAACCTATAAATGGAAAACGACCTTAAATCCTGCTGTCCATAGATCCGAAACTTGCCTCTCGATGGCCTCTTAGACCTTTATCGGAAATGATACGTCTTTGTATTCCAAAACCATATAATTTGTCTTTCAGCCGGAAATATCTCTATCGCTGAAACTGTGTAAAGACTGCTTGAGATCCTTTAGAAAAAAGAATATTAAAAATGATTACAAGCGAATAAATCTTGAAACTGTTAGAAGAAGCTACTATAAATTACCTCTAGCTCTAAGGGTATATATTTCCCTTACAGATTGATTTGTTATTCAGTATAAGAACTACAGGAACTTCTTGTTAAGACTTCCTGCACTCTTTATTTGTTCTTTCATAATAGTGGCGCCATCTAACGGGCATTATATTATCAACTAGCTCTATATTCCCTCTATATTGAAAGTTGGTGTTCAGACACTTGTTCTTGTACTGGATAGAAATTTCGTCTTAAAACCAGTCAGCCATCCTCCATATGAAGCCTTGGTGAGAAGAAAAGAAATGCGTAATATAATGATCAAACAGTTGGTCCAATGTATAATACCGAATAATAAATTTGACGCAACCTCACAATATTACACACATGCCTAAATTAATTTAGATTACTAAATGGTGAGTGAAAAGAACTTAAACACCGTATGTGTTATAAAGAAACCGCCATTATAAGACACCTAACTGTAGTTTTTGGTTTGTTGACCCAGATTTTGCAAGCGAAACTGCAGTCCACAGTACAGAGTACGGCGAATCAAAGAATATATTAAATCTCTACATCACATATTATATTTTCAATTTTACCTTTGGTGAAAAGAAAAGAAACCTGCAATATAACGTTCAAACAGCTGTTCCACTGCATAATATCGAACAATAAATTTTGGCGCAACACTACACTATTATTCACATACCTAAATTAATTTAGGTTCCTAAATGGGGAGTTAAAAGAAATCAAACACCTCATAAATATCAAGCTCTTTTCTGGTTTAAGTCTCTTTGTGATCTTATACGCGTTTATACCTGAAAAAAAACTTAAATATAGTAATTTTAAGCTGAATTTATTCTCAATGTTTCAGTGATAGGCTTACATCAGAAAGATACCGAATGTAAATTGATAAGAAAGAAAAAAGAAACCCATAGATTACGTGGTTCTTAAGGATGAGGCGACAACAATATTATAACAATACATGTTAACGTTATAATCTAAAATATATTATTCTAGCTTAAGAATAGAAAAAAAAAACACTTGGTACCATGGTAATAAAATCTAGGAGAACTTTAATTTGACACAACGTTACGGGCCTAAACATTTCTTCTGATGATGTTTGTTAAAGTCGAATATACGGAGCATATTTGAATATTACTAAGAAAAGTAACAATAGGAGAACGTGCGAAATATGGTTCAAAGTGTGATATAACGATACTGTCGAATCAACTGTTGTAAAGACATAACGTAAGGGAAAAAGAAGCAGAAGATGTAAAGAAATACGAAACTGGTAATTGAGGGGGAAAAGGCGGAGAATGTTAAAAGTAAAGTTACAAAAAATATAATTTCTCGTCTAAACCAACTGGAGAAACTGTAAATAATGATCTGTTGGTTTAAATCTTAGAAAAACAAATCTGAGATCTGAGAAGTCGTTTTGTCGTCTGATACTTCAGTCCTACCTTTGCTAATTATAATTCAGTGCTAACTTTACTAATTATACTTCAGTCCTACCTTTGCTAATTATAATTCAGTGCTAACTTTACTAATTATACTTCATTCCTACTTTTGCTAATTGTAATTCAGTGCTAACTTTACTAATTATACTTCAGTCCTACCTTTGCTAATTATAATTCAGTGCTAACTTTACTAATTATACTTCAGTCCTAGCTTTGCTTATCATATTTCAGTCGTAACTTTAACAGTTATACGTATACAGACACTCCTCTTGGTTCTTTTCCCTGCAACTGACTACGCTGTGTGACTTGACAACACACTGACAATCAAATTCAAGTGACATTTTCCCCAAATCGTTTTTACATTAGAGATACTTTTTCCTGCTTATCAGAATCCATTATATACTGCATTGCTTGTGATTATCGTAACTTGCTGTTCGTTGGTGAGACTGGTCGTAAAATCAGTTACAGATTTCTCGAATACAGACGACACATATTAAATCACAAACTTGATTTACCAGACTCAATACATTCTTTTCAGTGCTAACTTTACTAATTATACTTCAGTCCTACCTTTGCTAATTACTTCAGTCCTACCTTTGCTAATTAAAATTCAGTGCTAACTTTACTAATTATACTTCAGTCCTACCTTTGCTAATTAAAATTCAGTGCTAACTTTACTAATTATACTTCAGTCCTACCTTTGCTAATTATAATTCAGTGCTAACTTTACTAATTATACTTTATTCCTACATTTGCTAATTGTAATTCAGTGCTAACTTTACTAATTATACTTCAGTCCTACCTTTGCTAATTATAAATATAGAATATGAAGATTTTTTTTCCCTCAGTTTCCAAGACAAGTTCCCAGTTTGTACGCTAGGTATATTGACGACATTTTCGGCATATTTATTGGTAACAAGACTGAATTTGACAACTATATTAATTCTCTTTGAACCTTTAACCCTTCTTTAAACTTCGCCTGGCGTATTTCTGCTAGAAGTCTGTCATTTTTGGACATAGAAATCCCCACTGAAAATAACAAACTGTCTCCTACTGTTAATTATAAGCATACGGATTCTCATTCTTACTTACGTTTTGATTCATCTCACCCAACCCTCCATTTTACATTCAATCCCTTACTCACAGGTTTTGCGTTTAAGATGCATTTGTAGTGGCGATGATGATTTCGTTTCTAAGTCTGAAGAAATGACTTCATTTCCTTTCGGGACTATCCTAAACGCATCTCACGAAATTGTTTTTTTAAAGCTATTCATAAACCTCGAAGGAATAAATACCCTTAAGACATTGTCACAAAAGACGAAACGTAATATACTTACTTTATCTATTCCTTATCGCCCAATTGTGTCCCCTCAAATAATATAATCAAAATCATCAGGGACAACCTTCACATTCTTCAAACTAATATTAACACAAAAGGTGTTTTCACTAAACAATTTGTCATTGCTTTTAGACACAATAAACGTTTTCGGGATTCTCTATCTTTACTAATTATACTTCAATGCTAACTTTACTAATTATAATTCAGAGCTACAAACAGATATGCATATAAAAGTCCCATGTTGGTTCCCATAGCAACACCATATAATTCTTTATAAACGGTATCATTAAACTTAAATATATTTAGATTTAGTACACGTTCGGTAAGCTGTAAAATGGTATCAGTAGAAGGTACGAGTGTATCAAGGAAGAACTTTAGGGCCTGTAAACCCACAATGTAAGGAATAACAGTGTAAAGAGATGTTATGTTACCCGTGAATATGATAACAGAAGAGTTTGTAAGGACATTAAAATTGTCAATTAACTGAAGAGCCTGTATGCTGTATTTAACATAGGAAGGGCAAGTTTTGTACACTGGAAGAAAGAATTTTGTCAATAAAATTATAAACCTATTTTGTGGGACAGCTGCAAACAGAAATGATGGGTCTTTCTGGATTCTCGGGTTTATGGATCTTGGGTAGTAAATAAAAGATGGTCCTTCTAGGATGTGATTGAGTAAGATCGCATCCTTCCGCTGGAAGGCTTGTTTCGTCGATAAGTCAGTTTATGGTGTCGTTTATTTGGGGGTTTTGGAGAGGATCGCTACCAATAACAGGTTGGCAATATGGGGTGTTGGATAAGTGTCTTTCAGCTTCAGCTATGTAGAGTTCAGAGTTCAAAACTACAGTGGTGCCTCCTTTGTCAGCAGATTTTTATCACAATGCCAGATCTTGAATATCAAGCTAGAGATGGCTTGATGTTCCTTCTTAAATAAGTTGTCAGATGGTGATGAAATAGTGTTGTCGATATACTTTATGTGTTCGCGACAAGTTGAAACATCAATTACAGGACATCTTCTCAACACTAGCATCCATTTCATTATAAGCATACTTACAATTACTCATTCTTACTTAAGTTTTAATTCATCTCGTCCCCCCCCCACCACTTTAAGTTTAATCTTTTACGCACAGTTTTTTTTTTTTCGTTTAAGATGCATTTGTAGTGACGATGATGATTTCGTCTCCAAGTCTGTAGAAATGCCTGACTTCTTTTCCTTTCGAAGCATCCTAAACGAATCTCACGAAATGCTTTCTTTACAGCTAGTCATAGACCGTGTAAGAATAAATAATACCCTTAAGACATTGTCACAAAAGGCGGAACGCAATAAGCTTACTTTAACTATTCCTTATCGCCCAATTGAGTCCCCCTCAAGTCCCTAAAATTATCAAGGACAACTTTTACATTCTTCAAACTAATACTGACACTAAAAGGTGTTTTCTCTGAACGTCCTGTTATTTGCATTTTGTGTTGTTGTTGCTGTTTTATATTGATTTTGTTGTTTTGTATGGCTGTTTTATGTTGTTCTTGTTGTTTTGTATGACTGTTTTATGTTGTTCTTGTTGTTTTGTATGACTGTTCTATGTTGTTCCTGTTGTTTTATGTGACCTTTATTTTGTTGGTGTTGATTTTTACCATTGTTTTTATGTTGTTAGTATTGTTATGTATGACCAAGTCTTTTCTGAGCTACAAAATAGAGCTATTATTTTCTTCTAAAATTGAAAGTTTGGCAAAAAAGAAAAATTCTTGTAGAAGAAGCTCTTAGTGGCATAAAGAAACAATGCCAACAACATAAAAATCATAAAAAGTCAACACCAACAAAATAAAACAGCCATACATAACAATACTAACAACATAAAAATTATAAAAAGTCAACACCAACAAAATAAAACAGCTGCATTTTGTGTTAGTCCGATTTTTGAATCATCCTAACTAACGAGCGAGGAAGAACATAATTTTTACGTTGCTAGGAAACCACCTTGATTCTATGTAATCTGTTTCATCGATAGATACAATACAGCGCAAGAACAGCTGCTAAGTCATTGGATCGATATTTTATAGAACTTAGGATGTTAGGATAACATTAGAATGTTTATAAGTCTTTATTGTTGTAATTTATACTCTATTTACAATACAGAATACTTCACTTGTAACTTTTTTGCTGTTTGGAGGCTTGTTTGTGCTTCAAGATTGTTTACCAGTTCGTAACAACCTGTCTTCTTTGTATTAAACTTGTTTCTGGCTTATCCGCTTTGCTTCCAAATACTACTGCCTCAGTTTTC